CCCTTTATCTCCGATTCTTCTTCATTCATATGTTCCGCATCCCCTTTAGTATTGGCTTTCTAGTGGCACAGCGGAATGTCTGCGGACTTACATCGCTAGAAACCGGGTTTCGATACCCGTGGTGGGCAGAGCAAAGATAGCCCATTGTGTAGCTTTATGCTTAACTTCGAAACAAACAAACATCCTTCAGTATTGATAGTTAGGGCGCTTGACTTGCAATATGTGAATCGCAGGAGCAAAACACGTCATCGAATATGTCCGCCTTTTCAACCGTGGAGGGCGTTGTAAAGTCACAATCAATCCCATTATTCGTTGGCTAGATACCTTTACTCTAGTCCATCACTTCAAAATTAGGGACGGCTAGCGTATATAGCCATCGAGTAGCGTTACATGAAATAAAAAAACAGCTTGTTTTGCGAGATTTGATAGCTATCTGAAATACTGTACGTGTTGGTTTCTTCGTGGATTTTTCTCTCCTTCCATATTTAAATACGACAAGTTCAAAGTCTTTGATTAAAATTTTTCTGCTTCTAAAAAAATTCCTCAATATAGAAAACAGAAGTTTAATAAGTGTCAGTAAACGTCATAAAGAAAGACACTTTCATCTATATGTGTGAACTCCAACATACGTGTGAACTCCAACATATGTGTGAACTCCAACATTTGTCCCTATATGGAACAAAGTCATGTAAAATAAAAAATGGTCTAAATAATAAAAAAATAAATGGTTGTCCGTTAACTTACTAGAACGACTTTTTGGGAATATGCAAATCGCTGGAAGTTTTTGTTTACCACAACGTTGTAATAGCTGCCAAGAGTTTCTAACTCATGTTGTGTTCTTGCGCAAGTTATTGCTAAAACGGTCGATTCAACGTGATCAATGCAAGTAGATTAGCACTGTATATCCCTGTCTTCACAGTTCACTCAAATGTATTGGTTGTGTGGCATTTATCTACTTTTATTGGCTCTCACAATCGTTCGCGAAGCTAGGACAAATAAACATATTCGAACAAGAACTACTTTTCCTCCATTTGTATATATATATATATACATTTTCATCTCAAATTACAAAAATAAATAAATAGAGGGAAGGTTAAAAATATGAAACATTTTATATTTTATTATACAAACCATAAGTCATTTAGATTCAGTGTGAAAAAATCCTTATGGAAATACGATCCCTGGGAATGGAAATAGCGGGCGTATCAAGTACATCCTCATAAGGAAAATAACCCATTAACCCAAGAGCTTTCGGAAAATGGAATTTTCTTTATCAGTTACCTCTGACGCCAATTCTTATCTGTTGATCCTGTGTGTTTTCAAATGTCATAACTACGAACCTATGTAAGCAAGGGGTTAAACATGCGTTTTCAAATGTCATAACTACGAACCTATGTAAGCAAGGGGTTAAACATGCGTTTTCAAATGTCATAACTACGAACCTATGTAAGCAAGGGGTAAACATGCGTTTTCAAATGTCATAAGTACGAACCTATGTAAGCAATAAGTTAAAGATACATTTTCAAATGTCATAAGTACGAACATATGTAAGCAATGAGTTAAAGATACATTTTTAAATGTCATAAATACGAACCAATGTAAGCAAGGTGTTAAACATATGATTTTGCATGTCATAAGTACGAACCTATGTAAGCAAGGAATTAAACATGCGTTTTCAAATGTCATAAGTACGAACCTATGTAAGCAATGAGTTAAACATGTGATTTTAATTGACTTAGCCAGATCACTAGAGTGTTACCTAACATATATGTACAGGAATAACAGAAAATGTTAATGTTATTAAACATACACCCTAATGCTATTTAAATTATTTTATAAAATTGCAGTGTATATATACACTTGTAATATTATTTATTTATTTACACGCTAGAAGGGTTTTAACACTGGCATTCCTCCCCCCGACTGATGAGTCTCGTCAATGTTACGCCCATGCAGCATTGCGCCGTCCCTAAAGATTTTAATAAAAATAGCTTATTTACAGAAATCGATTTTCATCAGTAACCACCCAGTGTTCATCATCATCATATGAAATATTTCTGTTTATGTTCGTTGACAAAGGCAAATGAACTTACGAAAATCGATATTAATACATATATAGGTAGAGTTAGAGCAATACGTGTGCTTTCATCAGTTATAGAATTGTCCCTACCCATTTAATATAGAAAATACTCCCGAGTGCTTTAGTACAGGAATCTTAGGTTCCAATTCATATCGTGTTCAAAAATACATGGTTTCATACCACATTTGTAGCCGATGTTAAAGTTCGATTGTCTTGATTTTATTTTTCATGTACATTAGGTAGTACAGTCTGCCCGAGTGTTAAATTTATATTAATCATTCAGCTCCTCCGCTCCCCTGTTTAAGCTAGCATCCAGTTACTGTAACCATTACATTGGTAAATAGAAACACATCACTACATATATATCGAATGTCTTGTTTACAACAACATATAATACAAATGACTATAATTTATACGGATCACCAAATGTAATAAAATATTCATATCACTCACTACAATATAACACATCATACAAAACTCAGTGTAATGTAACACTTTACGACCCACTAAGTATAATGTAATACATTATGATCCACTGAGTGTAATATAACTGATTTTGTACAACTCACTGCAATGTTAACACATTATAGACTACACAGTGTAACGTAATACATTATAAAACATTCAATTTAATGTAATACATTGTGATCATCTGGACGTAATGTAACACATTACGGAGCACTCAGTGTAACGTAATACATTATGGACAACTCAGTGCAATGTTAACACATTATGGAAAACTCAGTGCAATGTAACACATTATGGAGAACTTAGTGCACTCTTAACACATTATGGACAACTCAGTGCAATGTAACACATTATGGACAACTCAGTGCAATGTAACACATTATGGACAAC